TCTTTACGAGCTTGATGTTTGTTATTTTCTATTGCAGACGTTAAAAAACAAACTCTCTTTGTGCGAGAATCTCATCAGTTTGAATAAAGTCGCACTGTGTGCGCACTGTGATGCTCAAAAAGGTTAGAATTATGCATCGATAATTCGAAGCTTTAACATCATTCTCTGGGTAAAATTGTGTTCTAATACCCCGTCCAAAAGCCGGAATTGATCGTCAATTTTTTGTAAAAGGCAACATTAGGGTGGGTTAAGTAAAGGTTAAGAAAAGTGTTCTCAGACAACTGCTACTTGTACTCCAAATCAAAGTCAACTTGGTTTAAAGCCCAGGTAGGAAGAAGTCAGGTCATTTGGTTGTGTACAAGCGTGGTCGGGGAAAATTGAACACGGGACCACTAAGGGAACTGCTGAGGAATAGGTTCGCTTTTTGTCGTAGCGGGACTCGAACTCAGGACTTCGGGATTCCGAATTCAGTGACTTCATCAATCCACCACACCACCTTTCGGGCTAATATTATTTTTCCCGTATCTTAATCATATCAGATACGAGAGAGTTTTGTCTGACCCCAAATTTTGACTGTCTTTTCACTTGAACTTTTAAACTTATGTCTTAATTTTTGTTCTGTTTCAGTTCCTCTTTCTCCACCCGCTTCATCTCTCCGCAAAAATTACGAATCGCCGACAACACCAAGTCCAGCGACGTCACCCTTGAACGACACACCATCCCCAATAAGAAAAGCCGTCCCTAAAGTAGATAGCCACCTGGTGGGTTATCCCGCGGGTAATCCTGCAGGTCAACCCGCAAAGTCCCTTCCCGTTCTAAAGATTGCCCTCCCTAAAGCAAAGAATATCCCGAAAGCTGCACCTTTTGTAAAGAATCTCCCTCCAGAGCCCCCCAGACCCGAACCCTCGGGATCACCGAGTATTTCGGGTTCGCGTTCATCAAAACACGTATCTCAATGGAGCGTTCAAGATGTAGTGGATTTCATAAGAACAACTGACTGTTTTAAGTTTGCAGACGAGTTTCAGAGACAGGTAACAGCGAGGTTTTATTACTTTTGTTAATAAGATGGCAAGATGTCTCTTTTTATGAGGGATTCACTCAAATCTGAGGTCGATTTTCGTGTTAAAATATCGAGGTCAACATTTGTTGACTTTATGTTACCTGATTAGTGCCTTTTAGTCCCCAATATTTTGTAAATAATTCTGAGATGGTAGAATTTATCTTCCTACATGAAATTTATCGGGAGGAGGTCGAAGAGTGTAAAGGGAGGAAGTAAAGAATATTGGGATCAATATCAGTATCTGGGCAACTGCCCACCAACCCCTCCCCTAACCCACCATCGTACCCATCTATTTTAACAGCTCACTACCGAGTTCCGATGGCGTTACATATCCTCCAGTGAGTTGGGGGGGGGGGGGGGGGGGTCAGGTAAATTTAATTGGTACACAACGTAAATTCTCCCACCCCTCCCTCCCTTTCCCCCCTCTTCCTCACGATATAAATAACGACAAGTCCTTGAGTAGAAGTTACATGTTGATAAAAACTTCAGGCAGTATATAGATGAACAAAATTATTTTTCTTTCTCCACATCGCAGGAAATCGACGGTCGAGCTTTAACGTTACTATCCTTAGACGAGATTCACAAGTGTCTTGGAGTAACTCTTGGACCCGCCATTAAACTTCACTTTACTGTACAGAAACTGAAAAAGAAACCTCGATAACACAGGCTGTTACATTTCATTCCAACGACGCATTCTATGATTTGGGCCTCCA